TTATTTTATGTTGGAGCTGACGGCGAACAGTTGCAGCAGGGGAATTTTTCAGGGATGCGGTGGACACATGTTTTCAGAGAATAGTCTCTGAACCGGATATTACAGTCTTGGGCTCATTCAGGCAGCTTTGCCATCACGGTATTTCAAAATGAAAATCGTGTCAATACCGCGTCATAGCAAAATTACTACTATTGAATGGTCTTTTTCTACACAAAAGACTCTTGGCTCAACTCAGCTTCAACGAGTCCACCAGGTCTCCCTTCTGTTTCTAATGTGGTAAACTTGGTGCTCAAATTCCCAAATTCTTGTTCAGAAGTCCGAACAAGTTTAGAGCACACGTGCTGAGGAAAACGCAAGGCGCATTGATGATCGATCTCATGTTGACTGATGAATAGCAACTAGAGGATCTCTGTTTGAGAACATCAAACCATTGCGACATTTTACAAATGGAGAACTCTGTTATGATGCAGACAGCAAAGTGTAAAGAAGTCAGCTTTCAAAAGGAGATCTTTATTATAAGCTGAACTAGGCACTGTGCTACAAAAGGTCTTCACATGGCTCAAACAATATATGCATCACACGGGCAGGTCATCGAGTTACACGGTTAAATGGCAAGTCACAACCAAGTAGATTCTATTCAACGATATGTCTGTTGTCAAGTGCAAGCTAACTGCTTTTCAAAGAATTCGCCCATGAACAGGTCACCGTAAGGTGTGACGAAACTTCGGCTGTTTACAAATCTAGGCAACCCTGGCCAAATTTTGAGAGAGAAAAGAGGGGGGAAATGTATTCTTATACAAAAGTGAATATGTCCCAAGTAATAGGAGTTCTGAAAGTTCGCTTCTTGACTATAAAATTACATGTAGATATGCTAAGAGACTCATATAGAAGTTACAAAAACCTGTTATAACACACCTTTTATAAGACTTCCATGATTTGGGTGTTAGTACGAGCAGTCAAAATCACGCGAAAAAACGCATCCCAGACGCCTCTATTAAATCAAGTTCATAGTCATTGAACGTCGTTGCTGAGCGCTTTACTCTAAATGACCATGAATTTGGTGGTCTTAATGTTTTAGAAAATTAAAAAAAAAATATATAACAATGCAACATTGAAATATTGCTTTTATTGAAAAAAATCTCAAACAAATTACGGTCTAAGCGTCGAGGCAAAGCGCTTGGCCACGTTAAGAGGCAAAAAGTCACCCACCTAACACACAGCGTAGTCTCGCTATTAGTCAAAGTTAATAGCAGACAAATACCATTGGCTTAACGGTCTTGCAAGTACTTGAATATTTCTTCTTGCAGAACAGACGCTTGAACAAGTGCAACACAGCTGTAAATTGTAATGCAAGTAAAAGTTTTGCGCATTGGATATTTAAACGACTTTGTGGTCGAGACAACGCAACACAACACGCTCGTTCACTTACTCACTCACTCACCTGCTGCTCCCTCTCTCTCTCTCTCTCTCTCCAAGCCAGCGTTGCAAACTAAAAGGGAAGGCATCCAGCAGCACCACAAGCTATGAGTACCAAACTTGCCACACGTGCAATGTAATGCTTGTTAAGGCTAATTCTTACAACGACAATAATATTAAATGCAAAAAACACCAGCAGCAGCAACAACAACAACAACAACAACAACAATTGTGGTTGAAACAAGCGTAAACAACAAGCAAAGCATACTTTCAGGCGGCGGACAACTGCATAATCCAAAACGAGCTTGTTGTAAACGCTATGTTGTTGCTGGCATTGTTGTTGTTATTATTATTGCTGTTGTTGCTGTAGTCGCTGCGATTTCTTATATTTATTGTTACTGCTATTGTTAGCAAGCGTCAGATTTTAAGGCCAATGTTGGCAACACGAAGTCTCGTTATGTTGTTGGTATTGCCGTTGTTGGTATTGCCGTTGTTGTTATTGTCTTTATTGTTGTTGCTGTTTTGTGTTTGCAGACAACATCGCTTAGTTTCCTTTCTTGTCGCTGACACCAAATGATGAATGTGCAAAGTTGCGTTGTGTTTAAGTGCAACCAAAGTAGCTGCAACATTACAACAATAACAACAACAAAAACGAATAGCAACAGCATTAACTATGCTAACGAATAGCAATAATTCTAGGGTTAATGGCAAAAACAATAGCAATTACTGTGTAACGAGCAAATACTTATAAACACACAGACACATACATGCAACCTTAATACATAAACATACGTATATAATGTAGCATATACGTTTACATACACACATACAAGTGTTTCTTGCACTGCAAGCTTTTACCAAGCCAAGGATATAAAAGTCGCTAACAATAACAAATAACAAAAACACAAGCCTTGCTAACTACCGTTGGTTCCTTAAAGCAACGTGCAACAACAAATTAAGAAGCATTCAACAGTTTTCAAGTGGTACCCACAAACGTACATACGCAAACAAAGAGTTGACCAGCGACAGCGGCAACAACACGCGTCAATAGTGCAACAATATTCCAACAACAGTAGTCAAACGATAACAACAACATTATGAATTGCATCGCCATTAGCAAAAGTGCAGGGCAACAGCAATAGTGCAGTGTGTGTGTGTGTGTACAAATGTATGTATGTGTGTATGTACCGATACATACAAATACATATTCATTAATGAGTTGCTCCTTTATGATGGCGCGTAACACTTGCAGCAACGTCATGTTGCAACTTGGTATGCAATAATTTAACACTTGGTGTTGTACTTAATGTAACCTGACACCAAGCGTTGCTGCAAACACGCCTTCAGATGAGTTACATGCAAAATTCTTGTTGTTGCTGGTTGCGGCAAATTGCGAACAACATTGAGGCATGCAACATACGTGGTATGTATGTCTGTTTGTATGTATTTAAACAGATTGCGTATGCTCTTAATGGCCGTTCAACATATTGCACAATAGCATGGGAACGTAGGGAGTAAATGTAACGGTATTTTTTAGCTTAGGAAATATTTTTCATTTTTAAAGCTTAAAGCATTAAGACTTTCTGTAATTTAAAAAATTTTGAGTTCTTTATCAATTTAACAATTTACTTAATAAATATTTTCGCCTAAGTGGCAACTTTATATTTATTATACTCTATGAGCAAAAACTATGGTTAACTCTTTGTTTTTTGTGTTAGTAGCACTCTTATTGAAAATGCCCTTATTCTTCATGACCATTTCGCTAAAAATTGCTCGAATATCGTTCCTCAACCACCGTATTCGGCGGACTTAGGACCATGTGACTTCTGGCTTCTCCAAAAACTCAATGGACCACTTCGAGGACATCGTTTTGAGTCGCTTGAGGAGCTTAAACGTGAATCGGCGCGCTCTCTGAAGGCCCAACCAGAGTATTTGACATGCTTCGATAATTGCAAAATGCGTTGACATAAACGCATTGCATCGGCAGGGGATTATTTAGAAAACGAAGAGACCGATTTTGCAAAATAAGTAAAGATAAGTTTACAAGCAAATTCACTTTACTTTTTGCTCACATAATTATATCTTAAAAATATGTGCAATATGACTTTCTTTCAAATTTGAATTTATCATTATTTTTTTCATTATTGTAATGAATTTATTAAGAGTTGGTAACTCTGCCATAAATATGTACGAAATTTTTATTTTCAATTTAATTTCCACGGATCATTATGATTAAAGTAACTTTTTCCACTAAAAGTTTCAACAGGCGAGAGTTCTTTCCATCAATAAATATATTCCAAAATGTGAGAACTTTGCTGAAGTATACTCAGCGTTAGGTATCTTTTAAATTATACCGTTTATTAGCTATATTCAAATGAATTAATTTTCTTAAGCTGGTTATATTTCCCTTCTCACCTCTGGAACAATATGTTTTTTATTTCTTTTTAGTTATTTTACTAAAAATTTTCAAACAAGTGGCAACTCTTCCCAGAAATTTTTTTTTTATTTTTTTTTCAAAAATTATTTTAAATTGTCTCGCGTTGTGTTCTTATTGAAATAATTATTTTTACCATATTTATTTTGCCAATTTCTTTTAATAAAAAAAATTGGCTGGTGGCAACTTTGTCTTACAATTTTTTTCGAATAAAAACTTCCTGAAATTACTTTCGCTGAATGTACGCAATAATATATTAATTTCATTTTCTAATAATTTTTTTTACTAAAAAAACTAAAACTGATGGCAACTCACAGCAAAAAAATCTACTTGGCACTTTTTGACCGTTGAAGCGATATTTATTCGAGCGCTCTCCCTATTTGCGATGCACTCCGCTATGTTTTAAGGCTGGAAGGCTTGAGTTAAAAAGGAAAATTATTTGTTTTATATTTTCTATAGTTTTGAATGCTATCTGGAAAGACTTCAAATCGATTGCTCTCCGTATCATATCACGCACCACCAGTCACTCGTCTAAGCCAGCTGACATATAAATAACCAAGTATTTAGTTTAAAACGAAGTTGGGCAAAGATGGTATCTTCAGCTTAACAGTTCGAAAATTTAGCCTTCATGACGAAATATTACCAATTAAGAAGAAATGGCTGTCTCCTGTACGAAATACGCGCAATCATTAATTATTTATCAAAAAGCATAGATTGAATATCTAGAAGCTGTAATCAAACCTTCGGCCTGCTGTTCATGCCAGTGAAAGTATTGATTTTCAGAGAATCGCCACCCATTTACCAAAATACGTAAATACGGAGAGTCTTAAAAGTCGCCAGCAAGAATATTACTCGAAAATTCTATGAAAATACGGCTTGCAAAAAGTTTTAAGAGCATACCCGTTCCTTCCTGAGTTTCCTGAGTTTATAGATAGAACAATTCTGTAGCCTACTTAATTGAAATATACCCACAGAAGGTATTTAATGACAATCAAATCAATAACTTCCCTCCCGACTATGATTATATGCGAATAGCAACTTCTCGTTTGAAGAATAACCAAATAAAAAAGTACTTTTTGAAAGTGATTTCATTTCAAACACTTATTTACTTTTCGTATTTTTTATGGTACAAATCTCAGCTTCAACTTACCAACAGGACTTTCTTCATTCCAAAAAGAATCATCCAGAGTGTAATCAGCCTCTGTAAGTGTAAATAGAAAATAAAAAACTAATTAGTAACTGCAAAATTATAATAATTACGCGCGTCAAGATACAAATGTAAAATAGAATTATTATTTTTTTTTTTTTTGTACAAAATCCACATATTTAAAGTAGAATTCGTTAGTTCACTTGCATTGCCACTTGCACTCTAGCCGCACACATACAAGCCAAAGCATATTTTCACGAAGTTAATTGCATTTTTATTAAATTAATATTTTCGAGTGTAACAACAAGGTAAAAGCAGTTAAGTATTACATACATACACCTACATACATAAATGAGATTCCGAAAATTGTTTATTTGAAATGCAAATGTTGCAAAACAAACAAAATTTGTAATTCCACTGAAACGGCTTCATTAAAAAAGCATTTCCCACTGAAAATCAGAGCACGAATTACTCTCTCTCTCTCTCTCTGTCTTTCTACCTCTCACACCTTCTCTTGGCAACTCGTGTTTCAGCATTCTGTTTGTTATGTAAATTTGAATGTAAAACAAAATAGCGTTTTTTACACCGTCAGTTAGAAACTGCTGACTAATTAACATAGCATATAATTTTCTTATTATTTTGAAATAATTGGAGTCTTGTTTAGTTGTTGTGTTGGAAAGTGCTTTTTACAGTAGGAGTGATATATTTAAATAACAAAGTAAATTTTACTTAACAAAATTTCACTACAATTGGACTTCTGATAGCAACGCCACGCGTAATGATAGTGATAATGATAATAGTTATAATCGTGATTATGATGGTATAATAAAGAAGGTGGAAGTCAATGACAAATTAGACGAAGCTTAAGATTTGGAGGTAAACTGATTTTCAGTACTCGTGTTTAATAATTATACTCTTACGAATAATTTGAGGAGGAAGAAGAGAAAAAATATAAATTTTAATGACATTTCGAAAATAATTATTTTTCTTTGGTACACAAAATCCCTATTTGATCTGTGTGTAGTCAGAATCTTTTCGAATTATGTGGATATTTATATAAGAACCTATATTATGAATAGTATATATTTTTAAGCTGCTATAGCATTTAACCAATGATTACTCACAGATTTGTTGGTATTTTGATAAATATTGCAAAGATTTATAGAAACCACCAATGAAGCATTATCTATTGGTATGTGTAGCTCACTTCTTCAAAGCTCAAAATGTTTAACGACAAGTTGATTAAAAATGCCTCCAAGCAAGCCAAACGCACAATTCGGATCAATGCTGCTTCGCACTCAAGTTGAACGCACAGGTATAGCTTGTAATATGAACAATAATTTAAAAGTAGTTTTATTCTCTCTTCGAAGTCGGCTTCATCGCTATTCGACATTAAATGTGTTTCGTGTTTTTCGTCATCGACCATTTTTTAATAAAAATTGTGTGGAGAATTTTCATACATTTTAAGTGTTTTAACGTTCAAAAATCACTGATTATATTGTATATTCAAACCACTTACAGTGGACTTCATCAGTCCTTTATGATTATGATTTATGGTTGCCAACGCCATCAAAGAATAACGAAGATTACAACTTTAGTAAATTGTAAGTGAATATCAGAAAAGGAAGAAATTCACCCATCTAAACTTAGATCGAATTCAAGAAGATGATGAGCTCACTGGATTTGATATATCGACGCTTTGGAGACATAAATTTGTAAGCACACAGGGCATTATTTTAATAATTGTTAATTTTTTTACAGCATAGTAAATTCATCACTAAAATCTCATAATTACGCCAAAAGTCGTCGTAAGGCACACCTAGGGTCAAAATTCAAAAAAATAAAATTTTTTTCATATTTTGGTAGACTACACCTTTAAAAATAACATATTAAGACTTCAAATCGTTAGCTCAAATAGTTTTTGAGTTATAGCGATTTAAAGAGCAGCCGCTGGGTAACTAGAGAGTCTCAATAGCTAGAAGTGAAAACAATCATTTTATCTTCAAACGCGTTTTTCTCGAAACAGCATTTTCCGAATTTTCTGCAGTGATTACTCAAAAACAAATAAACTGATCGCTATCGAATTTTTGTTACATTCTTTATATATAGTTTTCCGTACAATGACCTATCCATTTTTGATCTGACAGGCCAAAAGCGAGCAAAATTTTGGGTAAAATTCGCCTATTTTTTTTTTAACGCCACCATATTGTAAATTTTTGATTTTTTTTATCTTGGGTCATTGTATAGACAATATTATTTAGTGGTTAATTTTTTTTAGATTTCATCCACGGAGAAGGCCGGAATCACTGAAGCAGTGAAGGACCTTTTTTTCGCGCCGTTGGAGATCGACTATAACTTAAAAAATATTCAATTTTTTTCTTCAAAAATTTCACTGTATGTTATTGAAATATTTATTTATATATTCTTAAAATTTTGAAATAATTGATAAAGAATTTTGTTTAATAAAAAAATCCCAAAAACCACCCATTACACTAGGTGTGCCCCTTAAAGTTGATTCTATTACCACATCTAACTCAAATCTAATCAGCTTCTTAGTTAAAAAAAATGTCAGATTAAAAGGTGAGTATATTTTCGAGCTATGCGAATATTTACAAACAAATGTAAGTCTTTCATATATATTTAATATATACTAGGAAAGTACAAAAATCATTAAAATTAAAACAAAATTACTGTAGGCTAATCTACGTATTGTTTTTGCTGCTTGAACTCTTTGAGTTTTTGAAATTTTTAAAGAAACATTTGAGCAATTGAGCACTGAATGAATATCGAGCTACTTGCACTACCCGGGAATGTACACAGAGCTCTGGAAGGTAGTTGGACTACTCCAGATTTGGCGTGATTTAGTTTAAAAATATCGCTTTGTGTTTGGACGAAATTTGAATTATTTTCTATGGGACTGTATACTCTAATAGTTTAAGCAAACATCAGCAATCAGGTTTTAAATCGAAAAAATTGTATTCTTTAAGCAAAACTAACAGTTATATTCGTACATATAAAAAAAGTTTTTTCTATTTCATTTCTTGTCTATTTCATAATGTTTTAATTTTTAAAGAAATTCTTTAACTTATTTATACCAAACTGCTTTAAGTACAAACATAAATAAAATAAAATTTTCTAAATTTATTTTTTTTTTTCGATAAACAAAATATAAATAAAGCTACTTTTGCTTCTCTTATTTAAAGCTAAAGACACCGAATCTTATGCAATTACTTCATTAGTCTTCCATCAAAATTTTAGAAGGATCGACTAAAATGGAGACGAGAAATCGAAGACAGCTTACGATAAGTGCGATGAAATTCCATCACCAAAGCAACAGATCCGACAAAGACCCACGATTGACACAAGAAATGATTGCTAATAAATTGGGCTTTAATGCAAGCTCATACATAAATATCGCACATTAATTCTTGGAGCTACCATTTTTTGTAAGGTTGAGGGTAGTGGTTGAGGATAGCAAGACATTGATGTTTGAGTTATAATAAAATTCTGATATTGAGTCATATTTTGGGGTTTTTATTTAATGTTTTTATTAATTGTTTATAAAGATTCTAAAGATATATAAAAAGGAGAGCAGATGCTAGAGAAATAATCAACTAAATAATTGAAAAATCATACAGACAGGCGACATGAAACTACCTTCAGTTAGAGAGCGATCGCTAAAGGTCACATTTTCACTAAGCAACAACAGACTTTTTCATCGGCAGCTGTAAAATACTTAGAAAAAGGAGGTTAAAATAGGTTTTCATGCAGAAAAGAGAGCCAAAGGAATCGATACTAGCGAAAAGAATATTAAAAATGTTGCACAAACTTCTAACAGGGTCGGGCATTTCAAAATTGGTTTTGCATAAACGCAATGAAAATGCCAAAAGTGCTTTGATCATCTTCTAGGGATGATAAAGTGAAGCCAAGTAGGAAATAGCTATTGTTAATATCTCTTAGCTACTTCATGCCGAGTGGCGATTTTGTCTGGCCACGTTTCGAATCCACCACCTCGAATGCAACTGCATTATGTAATAATAATATTATATTCGTATATAACTGACACTTGACGAGCTTATGGGAATACAGATAATTAATTCAGTCTCTCTTTTGGCTTTTAAGGAATAAGTCCATCGGTATAATGATAATAAAATAATAACTAAAATTGGTTTCTACACGCTGCCTATCTGCGGATATTCGACCACCTAAGTCAGAATTGTTAGTAAATTTTAGCCATCTCTCAAGTCGGGTAAATTTTTAGTTGGTAAATTTCGCTATAAAAATCAAATTTTAAAGATATAGTATATCAATCCTTTGAATATTAATGTAAAGTGTTTATGGACCATAAGCTGTATTTTATTCGAAAAAAATTTTGCTTTTTTTCATATTTTCCCCCCTATCGACTTAATGTTGCTCATACGTCATGGTGAACTTCTTGTTTTTATATTAAGGGGTATTATTTTTCAGTCCAATTGTAACAGCTCTTGTTCCTAGAATGTAGACTGTGTCTTAAAATATGCGCTCGACGGTGAATATTCAGAAGAAGAAGAATTTGGAAAGTTTCATTAAAAATATGCACTCAAATCCATTAATAAATTGATTTTATCTCCCAAAAAATGTACCAGAAAACGAAATGAATGCATGTAAGTATTTTAACGTATACAAACACGTATCGCGCGTACACATCTAAAAGTGCATTGCAGCGCGCAGATTTTTTATTAATATTTCAATTACATTTGCCACAAATTGATATGACTTGAAATATGCGAATTATGTAGTCATGTAAACACTCCCGCACACCCACACTGTATGTATGTAAGTATGTACATTTACATACTTGTACAAATACCATGTAACGGCATTTTAATTTATTACGAAATTCAGTGATAAATTCCAAATCGATCAGCGCGTTATTATGATATTATAGCATGCAGTGAACGCTAAGAGGCGTTGAGGCAGCTAAGCGCACAGGGTAAACAGTTGTCTATGTGTAGGTATGCCTATATATATATATAACAAAATCTAAATATTAACATAAGAACAAGTATGTATTG